AATTGAAATGGGGGTTAGGAGGTCGTCTACTTCAACTTACCTGTGGTCCAACATACCATTCTGGAGTTAGATTAGTATAGTCCGCGGCGCGAAGCTCCGCGTACACCTTCAATTTACATGCGGAACAACCTGCTCCTTCCGGCCGCGGAAAGCAACTTCGACTATATCTTTTCACTTTACATTTAGTTCTAAAAATTTCCTTTCTCTGCTATCCTATTTCCCCACCCCACAAAACTCTATAACCACCGTTTTTGCATGACGAAATGCCGGGACTAGGGGTTTATGAGTGGGGCTACATAAGCTACTTTTGCAGATCAAAGTATTCAAACACTAGATATGGGAGGAAATAGCTTAAAGCAATAGGATAGAAATATCTTATTTCTTGTGGTATGCATAAACACAGTGGGCATCTTGAAGAAATAGCTTTGTTGTAATCTGTTTATATTAATAAACCATGGAATTCAAATATGTTTTGGCAAAAGTAGTTAACGTAGTGCACCTCATATACCCCTAGTTCTAGCATTTTGTCCTATGGCAACAGTGGTTATGGGGGGTTTCGCACGTGGGAAAATAGGATAGGCAGTAAAGAAAATTTGTAGAAGCAAGTGGAAAGTGGAAAAATGTAGTTGAATTTGTTTCCGCGGCCATTGGAAGTAAGTTGTTCCGCATGTAAACTGAAGGTGTGCGCGGCGCCTCGCGCCGCGGACTCTACTAATTTAACTCCAGAACGGTAGCTTGAAGTAGATGACCTCCTAAGCACCATTTCTATTTTTTCAGGAATTCCAAGGAACCCACATTTTTATAATCGGGTTTTTCCGCAATACGTTAAGCGATTATACAGATTGTGGAAATCTACAGATATAAATCAACAACATTTCTAAATAACATAAAATATAAATGCATATAGCAGGCATTAAAGTATATCTCACTGCGGCTCCTGATTCCTCACACATAAAACTCTATAACCACCGTTTCCGTAGGACAAAGTGCCGGGAATAGGGGTATATGACGTAAACTACTGTTACCCATTTTGTATAAATGTTGCGAAAAATGCCATTTTACAGAATTTACTATGGCAGGCGATTTTACGATCCTCTACAAATCGGAAGCAATCCGCTGCCGGGTAGCGACCCCGACAATGGAAACGAACAACTTAAATGGTTAAATTACAGCTGGAGTGGTAACGGTATATTAATTCGATTATTCAAAAATCCGATTCTGACTACCACAGGTAGTTTTTAGGTCCTATGATTACCCTAACAGATTCTGTTAATTGAACAGGCAATGGAGGACAAAATAAAAAAGGTGGAGAACACTCAAACATCCTGTCTCCTTACCCACTGAGGCAGAATGTATTTGTAGTCGAGATACGTTAACTTCCCAAGAAAAGCGAATATATAATTCTCATAGCCTTCTTCGTCGCACAGCGGATTATGCTCGATGGTAAGGCAATCTAGATGTTTAAACTGTCGCAGATACAGAATCTGAAAGGAAATAAGAATACTGTTATTATTATTTTGTGTATTTACTTATACTGTTCTATATACCTGATGCTTTAAGACATCTTCTCTTAAGCTCAGTATGATAACTGAATCTCGGACATAAAGGCAATATTATGACTCAGGAGCAGCTTACGTTTTTCAGATTGTTTATGTTGTTTCTACCGAGAGAAAGAAACCGAAGCTTTTCATTTTGGTCCAGATTCTCAATTACTGAAATGCTGTTGCAGAAGAGGCTGAGGTCCTCGAGGTTAACAAGATTTTCCAGGTTCTCTATCTTGCTGATTTTGTTGAAGGACAAGTCTAATTTAGGAAAAAAATATTGACGGGCAATTAGTGTTCGACGTAGTGAACAGGTGTGGTAACGTGCAACGGAGGGAAAAAAATTCAAAGATAAACTTTAAAAATCCTCAAACGTATGAAATCCCGCGTGCAACTTCATAAAATAAACTAGGTTCGGTAACGGCAAGTCCTTTAGTGAAGAAAGGGCAGAAGCCTACCAAAAACGAAATCAAAAGCCTATCAAAATATAATAAAAAGTCACAAAAAGAAGGAAGCCTAAAACAGCTTAAGCATCCTAGAATTAGTGTATACCAGTCTTCTTAACATGGCGAAACTTATTTTCTTTAGCAGTGTAAAATCCTTAGATTATCGTCCGTTCTTGGGTGCGAAAACAGCATAATAAAGGGGTGATTTTAAGAGTTAATATTGCGCTGTGATTTCCAGGCTGATTCGAATTTCCAGAATAAACAGTGATTTTTTGTACCCATCCCCGGGTGTGTTTTACACGTTCTGTGATGGTTTCTTGTGTTCGCCCGTACAGGTTTTTCACGGTTACGTGGACGTTTGCCGGTACAGGCCATACCACATTAATGAAGGGTTGGCTTTCAAATAAGATTTTCCTTTTTCGTCCCATATGGACTATTGGCTATCTTAACCATGTTTTCGATTGTTTTAGAAATTCCAAACGCTCGCCTTACTCCGATTAAATTACAGTGTCTATTTATGGCATGCCTTGCGCTTAGTGTCATTGGGATTCCTATGGTGGCCAACTAGAGACTCGCAGAATTGTCGAGACCTTTAGGATAGGTTTCCATCTTTTCGAGTAACTGGCGGAAAACCACAGTTTCTTCATCTTGAATATTTATGTATTTAGAGACTTCTCCCTTTACCTTTACTTATTAGTAAAGGTAAAGAAGAAAATTCGAAAGTGGTTCGGTTAAGGCAAAAGAACGAAAATCCTATCAAAGTTCTTTTTCACATGTTACTGTTAATTATATGATTAAGTGTCCTAACAACATTATTGAAGTAACATTATTATGCTGCGACAGGTCTTACCTAACCATTTAATGTTGACAAGGTAATCCAGCCCTTCAATCTTCTCGATTATATTGTTGTCCAATTTCAACGTTGTAATATTGACTAATTCCTCGATTCCGCCAATTTTCAAAATATCTGTAAGAAACAAATAGCTAATGCAGCATGTGGTCGGAAATGATCGAAAATTTGCATGTGTTCGAATTTTAGTAGTAGTCTGATGATGAATTAACTAAAAAGTATGTTTGCGAATTCGCTTGCCAATCGTAAGATGGAAATATTAACAGAATTTAAAAAGGGTTATTCATCAAGTGTAAGTTATCAGCTTTGTTATCACTTGTGTCACAGCAAGACGTCCAGCATCTTTTGCCGCAGCGGTTTTTGCAGAGATTTTTTTTGAATATCTGAGGGACAATCCAAAACGGCGAAATACAATCAAACTAACATATCCTGGGTAGAATCGTTGTTCAAAGCCCTCCCCCTTTATATATGGGCCTTCTTCTTATTTTCAGAGTTGGGTTATGTAGCGATAAATTCGAGATGGGACCCTTTTTTGAACCTCAACCGTCCGTAAAATAAATTTTGAAAAGAAAAAATATATATCCGAACCTATGTCTTCCAAAAGTACCACCCACATGAATAAATGTATAAACTTGCTGGCGAAACCCAAGAGAGTATTCTTATTCTCAGAAATGGTCGACGAGTTGATTTATCTCGATGAATCAATTTGCAACTGGTGCTGTCTTCGGTTATTCGGCACCGAAATAAACGCTCAAAACAGAATCTTCAAGTGACATCAATTTAAATCATATTTTCGTACAATCTGAGGGGAGCAAATGGCTAACAATAATTCACTATTTATCCTATCGTTTTCGATGTCACAGCCAATTTTACCAAAATAAAATAGCGCAAGACATGTTGCGTGCTTACGGGAGTAAGTTGATAAAAATCTAAGTCCAGATTCTTTTGCTTAAAGGTAGTTTTAGTTGTCAAGTCAACACGTAAAATTAGGCATTGCATTTTTCACCTACTGTTGTATGCTAGTGATAACTGTTTTACTGAAGCAAAAGCAATTCCTTCGGCTTCGGCCAATTTTCCAGCTTCGCCTGTTGGTCCCTGGGCAAAGCACGCTGTTGTTAGTAATTCATCATCAATGACAGTAGGCTCCAATTTCCCGTAGATCCGTTGAGCTCCTGTGCAGATTAAACGAAGCAATGCATCAGTGAAGTAGGAGACACAATATATCTTTGAAATCAAAAAATCATTGGAGTTGGCCATACAAGGAGTCTACCCTTGATCCACTCTAACGTACGGTGTTTCCCAGTTAAGATGCATTTACGGTAAGGCCAAAGGAACAGCAGTTAATTAACAACAGAGAGTGAGCCACATGCGCTGCCAAGTTTTAGACATTAGACTGCATATGAGGTGTTTGAGTCGAAGGCATAGTCGGTGCTGCAGCTCATAAGTTAGGGAGGGAGGATTTTGTTCCTTCGTCTCGTCTGATCAAAATGCCCCAACATTAATTAGATATACCAATGGCCAGGCTCAAGAGGACTGAAGTATCCTTGGAAAGGGGGATGTAATTCATAAGAGTACAGGGTATCCCTCATGTATGCATTTTTCGTTTTTTTTCCGAAAATGTTAAAGCGAATGAGATTTAGGGCCGTAGGTGAAGGGAGCGCGGTTAAAATCGATTATCTATCATCTTTTACACTTTCGTTATACAAAATTCCATTTTTACTTCAACCTTGACTATTGTTTATTTCAGTTAGAAAGCAACTGTGTCTAGGACGTCATCTTTCATGAAAATGTGGAAAGGGTAGAGATATCCGGAATTGAACATCTGGGCGTCCACATACTTTTATATCCCCAGGTTTCGTGCATTCGTTCGTTAGGTCGACACGCTCCAGCCAACTGAGCTACGAGGCCCACACCGGAAGCCGTGAGTTCAACCCTACTTGGATCAATTTACCCTCCTAGCCCACTGTAACGTATGGAATCCAATCCAATCCAACAATTCTGATACAGTGAGCTGACTGCCCACGCAAGATTTCCTAAGTAGTCAATGTAGAATCCACCAGATGACTACCAAACAAATTTTTTACTGGGGGGTTTTGCAGCTTAGAATAATTCATTTAACTCAGGTGTGAAACACTCTGCGGCCTCGGTATGATTTGAAGTCACACCAGCAACAAAATGCTTTACTACAGCTAACGCTCTAGCCAACTGAGCTACGAGGCCTCATCGGGGCTATAATTTTAATATCGACCTCATGACGACGAACCTTTCTGCAGTTAATATTATTCGATGCGATTTACCACGTTACTAGCGAAGTAAGTTGTAGTACGTGTAGGTGACCGCTATCATTAAACAGTGCATTCAAATCTAGTTTAATACTTTGGCTGGAAGGGAATAAATAAGAGGGCATGCAATAATTATCAGTATGTACAATAATCCCAAAATATTTTATCCACGTCACTGCCTTATGGATGAATACCATTCCAACTACCTGCTTAAATCCCACTTACTGAAATTTGTCTTCGATAGCTTCCCTAATCAAAGCATATTTCGTAGAAAGTATGCGCAACACTTGTCAATAATCCCTCCTCCCTCACAATGTTAGCAAGACGCGAGTCTACTCATCATTCATTAAATTCTGAATTTTCCCTTCCAGCTGGTTTTCGGGTACGCACTGAGCCAAATATAAGAGGTTCATATAACCTTAAGCAGACGATGTCAGCGAGAGCCGTGGCGCGCTGTGCCGATATCCTGTCAATATTCCTATCCATGGCTAGATGCTATTCGATATTAATTGTTGTTAAAAGCGCTCGGGATCTCTTACTGGAGGTTAGGCTGCCGCCCTAAAAATATATTTTAAGTGGAAAGGAAATGTTTAGGCTAGAATGTAACAAGCCTAACCGTCACTTTTTTCAGCTAGAGTAGAGGCTTTTAATGACAGGTGCGATTACTGCCACATTGAACGTCTAAAAATCAGTTAGACTTTTTGATCTCAAGAACTTTAGCCTGTGTTGAACTGTCTGCAATTAACTTCTAAACTAAATATGTTTTTCATATTATTTTCCTGGAATTAGGTTCGAAAAATACTACTCATGTTGTAGTAGTCATATTTTTATTTTAAAAACTTTAAAAACTGTTTAACACCCCTTCTATGTGTATCCTTGATTTGAATAAGTGAGGTTGAACCTTAAAATAAGGGGAACAGTAATAATTATTCATTGCAAACATTTATTTTGTACTCACGAACATCCTTTGCTCTCTTGTAGTTGGAGACCTTCAAGTGAAAGTCTATAAATAATCAAAAAGTGTGTAAAGTATTGTGCACTTTTCATTGCAAACAATGAATTGATAAGACGATAGAAACCGGAAAAAAGCCCTAAGCTTCAGATAAGGAGAGGAGTGGGACACTCAGATTTAGCCAGCGTTTAACTTTTAACTGTCACAGTCGCTTCTACCAGCCATATGAATTATAATTCATATGATAAAACAAGCGTGAGAATGTAGCGTCTACGCAGTGTTTTTACTCGGATGACTATGATCATCAGACAGAAGTCACAAGAATAAGGCTTTATTGTGCACAAAACCTTTTATTTGTACGCGCGTGTGTGCTCGAGTGGAAGTCGGTCAAGGGTCTGCAAGCACCTGATAAAAGCATGGAACAAAAGAATTCAGACAACATTTCTGGTTGCCGTCACAAAAATATGAGATCAGAGGTTGCGTTATTTCCTATGAAGTCCTACGAAGTAGCCGACGCTCGGCTTCTTATTCAGGTGCAAGGGAATATCAAGTAATAACTTGACACTCAGATTTAGCTGGCAATTACCTTTTAATTGCCACAGTCGTTTCTACTAGCCATATGAATTGCTCGATATTCTCTTGCAGCTGAATGAGAAGCCGAGCGCTGGTAATTTTGTGGGACACTATAGGAAATAACGCAACCTCTGATCTCATATTCTTGTAACGGCAATCAGCAGTGTTGTCGGAATTCTTTTGTTCAATGCTTATTGCTCAACGTCCTGCAATTGCAGACCCTTGACTGACTTCAACCCGCGCACACACGCGCGTACAAATGCGGGGTTCTATGCACAACAAAGCCCTCATTCTTCTATCTTTCCAACAGCTCGGGATTTAGCCTGACGATTGTGGTGATATGAGTACAAAAACTGTTTAGATGCTACATTCTCACGCTTTCTTTATCCCTTTGTGGACATAGGCATAAATGCAAAACTTATAAAAATCGCCAGGAATATCGTCCTCTCCAGTCACTATTTGTGCAAAGCCTGAATACTATTTTAGTAGTTGCTTCCTGGCAGAAAGGGTCATATGCAATTGAAGTGGCTGTAGAAAGATACAGGTGGGCAGATAGGCGTTCGTCGTCCTCAATAAATAACGCATTCGCATCACTAACAGGGCCCTTGAATGCGATATATATACCTGAAGAATAACTTGGTAGAGTTTTAAAGTGTTACAACTACCCTACTAGCCTTGGAGGTCTTTTCTACGAACCGTTGTCATTACTTTACGGAGTGAACAAAGGAAATCGCCGATGGATATTGCCGGCAAAGACAAGGGAGACTGGAATGGCTCTTACTGTCTCAGTAGATGGCGTCACCCAGTCACACCATACCCCAGGTTGTGCCTTACCCAATGCTTAAATCCGCAAACTGCTGATCATAAGTCTAACGCTCTAACCCTTTAGTGTTCATCTGCCTATACTACTGCCCGCTGTGCGGTTGTTGGCGGGGCTTGAGAGTGAACCCTTAGGCAGGACAGGATCTAACGGGCGGGGTCTAGCTTAAGCTGTCTGGGCAGCCAACTGCAGGTTTCTTCAACTGATTGGGTCGCTGCCAAACCATTTAGACCTCAGAAGTGACCAGTTAGTGATGCATTCTCTTTTGATTCCGTAATTTTGAGACATGGAGCAAGGTAAGCTACGGACGCGACAAAGGTGCGAAAATTCCTGTCTGTGCAGAGAAGACCCTGCTTCAAGTGGTATGCGTTACTAATTTCAATGCCACGCACTGACCTATTTTCCGGTGATCTGGCACAAATTCTCCATCAAGTAGACAGTAGTCAAGTCTGGATGGAAATAAACGCGCTATTTATATAAGGATATATTAGATATTTGCGACGATATTTAAAAACTTTGTGGTTAGAAACCATCGTCCCTACCCATCATAATGGCATTGCCAACCAAGACATGGGAGGTTCGAAAGCTATTTCTGACTTATTAGCTGTGATCATCCAGCTCTGCCCAAACTCAGATTTCTTCACCCACAGCCTACAAGACAACAAAGCCTTGGCTCAGTAGCTAGGGGGTTGCACTTCTGACCAGCGGGTCGCGAATTCGAGTCTCGAGGGTTGTTACACCAGAGGTTGGGTGTGACTGCTAACGGCTAAGGAGCCAGAAATTGTCCTTGCAATTGCCCTAGTCTTTGCTTATATAACTAACCGCTGTGGGCCTGGTTGTGGGTCTCAAGATTGTGTCCGAAGGCACGGCAAGGCGAGTATGGCCCGTAATGCGATCGGTGAGCCTTGCTACATTATTACAGTCCGATTATCCACGCTGAGAAACAAGCCCGAATTGACCAAGTATATGTTTGTCTGAACGTGATGCAATAACTGTTTGATGAATTACAGTCGAACCATTGACTGGCAGTTCAATAGTCACTCGGCCATTTGACTCATTGACACTGGCACAATGCTCGACTGCGAGCTCTCCATGCAGTCACAGTACAGACTGTAGTGGTCGCTTCTGCCCGACGCCCACCTAACTTTTGACGCCATAGACAAGGTACTCAGAGCATAGGACCTTGCGC